AGGAGAAAAAAACCTACCTCCCACCTTGGAAGAAGATTGATTCAGCTCCCTTGGGTAAGCACCCAGCAACTCCCTAAATATGCACATATATACACAGAAATATACACATATATACACAGAAATATACATATATACACAGAAATATACACATATATACACATATATACACAAACATACACATATATACACAAATATACTCACAAATATATATACATATATACACAAATATACACATATATACACAAATATTATATATATATACACAAATATATACATATATACAAATATACACATATATACACACAAATATTACATCTATACACACAAATATTACATCTATACACACAAATATTATATATATACACACAAATATATACGTATACACACAAATATATACGTATACACACAAATATATACATATACACACAAATATATACATATACACACAAATATATGCATATACACACAAATATATACATATATACACACAAATATACACATCTATACACACAAGTATTACATATATACATACAAATATACACACATATACAAATATACACATATATACACAAATATGCACACATACACACAAATATATACATATATAAACACATATATACACACATATACACACAAATATTCACATATATACACACAAATATATACATATATATGCACATATATATATACACACAAATATACACACAAATACACACAAATATATACATATACACACAAATATATACATATACACACAAATATATACATATATACACACAAATATATACATATATATGCACATATATATATACACACAAATATACACATACATACACAAATATTACATATATACACACAAATATATACATATGCACACAAATATATACATATATACAAATATACACATATATACACACATATACACACAAATATTCACATATATACACACAAATGTATACATATATATGCACATATATATATACACACAAATATACACATACATACACAAATATTACATATATACACACAAATATATACATATGCACACAAATATATACATATATACAAATATACACATATATACACACAAATATATACATATATACGCACATATATATACACACAAATATACACATTTACACACACCACATTGGATTCCACCCCCTCATTTCCCAGCCCTGCTGCACAAGATCCTCACGGAGAGCCCGGCAGCGAGGATCACCATTCCTGACATCCAGAAGGACCGGTGGTACAGCAGGCCCCTCAAGAAGGGTAAGGGGCCGGGGGGGACGCGCTCGTGCCCCCGGATCTGGGGGTTATTGGGTGTCCTGTCCCTTTGCAGATGTCAAGCGGGCTCGGCTCTCCTCGGGGGGGGTCGCTGACTCCCCTGGAGGCTTCTCCAAGCACATCCGATCCGATTCAGAGCTGTCACCGGTGAAGGGAGCGCTGGGGTGAGCCTCTGCTTCCCTCCACACGGCTCTTTGCAACTCCTCGCGCACCTCGGGCCTTTCCTGCCGTTTTCTCCCGGAGGCGTTCGGGTGGAAACCCCGCACAAGCCCTGCCATCGCCCCAAATCCTGCAAAACCCCGTGCAGCTCCCACATCCTGCTCCCTGCAGCGCTCCTAACCCTCGTGTCCCCCCTTGCCTTGCAGTGAGGACAAGGCAAGCTATTCCACGTCTCAGCCGGAGCCCGGCACGGGCGGGATGCCCTGGGAGAGTGGCGCAGGAAGCATCGACCAGCTGGTGCAGGGCTTCAGCTTCTCACAGCCCGCCTGCCCCGAGCACATGCTGGTCAACAGCCAACTCCTGGGCACCCCAGGCTCCTCCCAGGTCAGGGGCTGCAGGGGGCACCTGGCACCACCTGGAATATCGGGATGCTGGGCTGGGCGAGGCCGATCCTCTTTGGGATTTCGCCTCGCGGTGTCCGGGGCGCAGCTCGGCATCATCAGCGGTGTCAGGGTGCACCTTGCAGTGCTTGGGGGCTGCTCTGTGGTGGTTGGGGTGCAGCTTTGCCTGGTGGAGAGTGTCAGGGCAATTTTGGAGGTGGAACTTTTTGGTTTTTATCTCCTCGGTGTGAGCTTGCAGGAGTTGGGGCAGAGCTTTTCGGTATTTTTAGTATCAGGGTGATGCTTTGCCGTGGCCTTGAGGTGTTTGGGGGGGCAGCTTCACATCCAGTTTACAACACTGGGGTCCAACCTTGCATTGTTATGAGGATGAGGAGCAACTTTTTTGCATTTTTATGACATCAGGGAGCAGCTTGGCAATGTTTGGGGTGTGGCTGGGTGAGGTTTATCATCTTGGGGTGCAGCTCTGCAGCGTTTGGGATGAAGAGTCTCGTCCAGTTTGCAACATCAGGAGCTGGTGTTGCAACTTTTATATTACAGGGGTACAACTTTGCCACAGATATGTAAGATTAAGAAGCAACTTTTGTCCTATTTATAATGTCAGGGAGCAGCTCTTGGGGCTGTGGCTGAATATTTATCACCTCAGGGTGTGAGGTGCAGGATTTGGGGTGCAAATTTACAATATTTTGGTGTCAGTTTGTCGCTTTGCCAGGGACTTGAGGGACAGTTTCACATCTGATTTACAGCATTGGGGTGCAGCACTGTGCTGTGTAAAATATTGGGGTGCAACTTTACATCATAAATACCACATTAAAGAGCAACGTTGCTGGATATGGAACATCAGGGAGCAGCTTGGCAAGGCTGGGATGCAGCTGTGAGTTTTATCATCTCGGGGTGCCACCTCCCAAGATTAGGGATGCAAATGTGCATCATTTAGGGAATCAGGGTGCCCTTTGTGCAGTGCTGGGGGCTGCTCTGTGGTGTTTGGGGAGCAGCTGTGCGTCTGATTTACAATATCAGGGAGCAGCTGGGCAAGGTTTGTCATCTCAGGGTGCAGCTTTGTGGTGTTTGGGGCACAATTTTGCAGTATTTTGAGTAATAAAATGCAACTTTCCAGTTCCAGGGTACAGCTCTGCAGCGTTTGGGAGGCAACTTCGCATCCAATTTACAATATTGGGGTCCATCGTTGCACTATACCGTTGGGGTGGAACTTTGCATGATATGTGTGTCATTAAAGAGCGTTTTTGTGGAAGCAGGGGCTGCTCTGGGACGTGGCTGTGCAGCATTTCTGGTGTTTGGGATGCGGTTGTTGGCTTGTGCCATCAGGGGGTGCAGCTTCCCAACATTTCCTCACCGAAAGCCGGGATTTGTCAGAGCTGGGGCTGGAACCTGGTGGGATTTGTGACCTTTTTGTCGGGATTTATAACCTTTGGAATGGTTTTTTGGGGCGGCAGAGCCCGTGGCAGCGGCTGGTGAAGAGGATGACGCGGTTCTTCACCAAGCTGGACGCCGACGGCTCCTACCGCGCGCTGAAGGAGGTGTGTGAGAAGATGGGATACGGCTGGAAGATGAGCTGCACCAACCAGGTGGGGGTCAGGGCAGGGAAGTGGGGCTGGGACCTCCTGTGCTGGGTCGTCAGGGAGTAATTCGAGGCACCCTACCCCCTCCCCACTTTGCAGGTCACCATCTCGACCACAGACAGGAGGAACAACAAACTCATCTTCAAGGTGAACCTGGTGGAGATGGAGAGCAAGATTTTGGTGGATTTTCGCCTCTCCAAGGTGTGCAGGGGGTCGGGGTGGGTGGTGGGGGCTGCACAGCAGGGGCAGGGCGGGGAAGGAAGGTGGGTGCAGGGTGGGGTGACCACGGGAGGTGGGTGCCAGGGGGCTGGAGGGGGATGCAAACTCTGTCTCTCCCCACGCAGGGCGATGGCCTGGAGTTCAAGAGACATTTCCTGAAGATCAAAGCCAAGCTCAGCGACATCGTCAGCACCCAGAAAGTCTGGCTGCCCGGCACCTGAGCCCTCACACTCCTCCTCTGCCTCTTCTCTTCCTCCACCTCATCCTCTTCCTCCTGGCTGGGCTCTGGCAGCAGCACCCACACGCTGTGAGGTTGTCTGGCCACTTGTTTTAGGTTTTGAAGGTTCAATAAAGCCCTGGGGGCCGCAGAGCGAGGCTGGTTGCTGCAGGGGGGGGTTTGTTCACTCTGGAGCCTCCTGATGGCGCAGCTTTGCTCAGCCAGCATCAATCCCACTGTGGGATCTCTGCCGAGCTGGGCAGCCCTAAAGCAGCCCCAAGGTTTGGGAGCTGACCCCCCCACCCCCCATTCCTGCCCTGTCTCAGGGCAGCGGCTGCCCTCATTTTCCAGCCTCTCTAATTGCTTTTCCGAAGGACTAACGAGCCCGAGAGCTGCCAGGGGTTGTTAGCGCTGGAGCGAGAGAGGAGAGACAGGGATTAACCCCATCCCCCCCAAAAAAGAGCATCCCCCCCAAAAAAAACCCCACCCCAGGGTGCAAACCCTGAGATATCACCACGATTTCTCCCCAAAGCTGCATCAATATTTAATTCCTGGGCTAAAAAATGCACTTCTTACACTTCTTACTTGTTTACCACTTCTTAAATTTATTTATTTATTTTTTTTTAATATCCCTTTCCCTGGCTTTTTTGTTCCCCTGGTGGGAACCCCCCTTGGGCAAAGCAATTAGCAGCGATTTTTTAATTGCATATTTATATTGCAGCTGGGGAGCGAGACCCCGGCAGCGGGCGAGGGGAAAGCAGGAAGACGCCGCGCTCCGACCTTGTTTGCTTTTCAGCTGGGATTAAGCGCTTTTAATTGTCCCAGAGATCACAGATTGCGACCAGGGGGGATAATTAGGCTGAATACAGGGTTTTCTGGTTCATTCCCCCCAGGAATTTATATTTCTAAGGGCATAAAAAAGAAAATCTTTGGGAATGCCTCGGGAAGGGAGGTTTGTGGAGGGGTGTGAGGCTGGACACAACTCGGTGCATGAGTGGGTCTCACTGTCAAAACAAGTTAATTTTTCACCTGTTACCTGCTGGAAATGGGATGTCTTGGGGGGTCACAGATACATCCCCTCCTGCCCAGGATGCTTCAGAGGAGGTTGGGCACTGCTTCTGCTCTGCCACAATGCCTTAACTGGGCTCCATTCCCATGGGAATCATTTTCAACCCTAAATTTTAGGGTCCTTTTGTATTTTTAACTCCGTGGACGGGATTATTTTCCGCTTTTGGGGTGTGTGGGGGAAACTCGAGGGGGATAAAAGGTTTGTGTTCCTCTGTGGCCGGGTGGGGGGGCCGTGCTGAGCGGGGCCCTGAAAGCGCCCTTTGTGCAGCCCCGCCGGGGACCCGGAGGCACCGGAGCGTGGCAAATCCTTAAACCAACAGCACAGCCAGGGCGGGCACAGGGGCTTCTGCCCCCTCCTCATCCCAAATTCACAGAGCTCCAGTGGGCACAGGGGCTTCTGCCCCCTCCTCATCCCAAATTCAGAGTTCCAGTGGGCACAGGGGCTTCTGCCCCCTCCTCATCCCAAATTCAGAGCTCCAGTGGGCACAGGGGCTTCTGCCCCCTCCTCATCCCAAATCCACAGAGCTCCAGTGGGCACAGGGGCTTCTGCCTCCTCCTCATCCCAAACTCCCCCTCCTCATCTCCCTCCTGGCAGCATCCGGGAGTTGGGGATGCAGAGTTAGGGATGTGGTGCTGGATGCGGGATGGAGGATTCAGCGTTCAGGGATGGGATGGAGGATTTAGGACACAGAAGGGGGATTTAGGATCTAGGTGGGGATGTGGGGTTTGGGATGCAGGCATTGGCTGTGGGATGGAGAATTTGAGATGCAAATGTAGGATATGGGATTTGGGATGTAGACACAGGGTGGAGGGTTTAGGATGTAGATGCAGGGTGTGAAGTGGAATTTATGATGCAGATATGGAATTTAGATCCTGCTGAGGATGCAGGATTTAGGATGTAGATGCAGGATGGAGTATTTAGGATTTAGACATGGGATGCAGCAGAGGATTTAGGATGTTGATGGGGCTGTAGGATTTAGGACACAGGTGCAGGTTTCAGGATGCAGGTATGGAACACAAGATTTAGGATGTAGTTGTGGGACATAGGATTTGGGACAGATACAGGATCTGGGACAGAGAACTTGAAATGCAGATATGGGACATAGGATTTAGGATGAAGATGCAAGACACAGGATGGAGGATCCAGGGTGCAATTGTGGTTTAGAAGATTTAGGATGTAGATGTGGGATAGAGCATTTAGGATGTATGTGGAGACTTGGGATTTCAGATGTAGATACAGGATGGAGGATTTAGGATGCAGATACAGAACACAGGATTTAGGACACAGATGCAAGATGGGGGATGGATGATTTAGGATTTAGATGGGGGGGGAAAGGATGCAGGTGCAGGATGCAGGACAGAGAACTTGAGATGCAAATGTGGGACACAGGATTTGAGATGTAGGATTTAGGATGCAGGATGTAGGATTTAGAGTGGAGATGTGGGATATAGGATTTAGGATGGTGGATGGAGGATGCAGATGTGGGACATAGGACTGGAGATGTAAATGCAGGATGCAGGATAGAGGATGTAGGATGTTAGATGGGGGATGTAGGATGTTGGTGCAGGACACAGAATGGAGAATGGATGCAGGTCTGGAATGGAATATTTGGAATGTAAATGACGTGGGATTTAGGATATAAACACTATGGGAACATTAGGATTTAGGATACAGGTGTAGGACATAAGATTCAGGACAACATCTAGGATCGAGGATTTAGGATGTAGGTGCAAAACACAGGATGGAGGATTCAGGATGCAGATGTGAGACAGGATTTGAGATGCAAATTCAAGGTGCCAGATGTAGGGCACAGAAGAGGGACTGTGGAACCATTTAGGATGGGGGATGCAGACACAGGAAAAAACACAGAAATTTAGGAAACAGAGAATTTAGGATGTAGACACAGGTTCCCAGATGCAGGATGGAGGTTTTAGGAGGCAGATGCAGTTTTCCAGACACAGAACATGTGACGCTGATGCAGGACACAGGAGAGGGGCTGCAGATGTGGGATGAAGGACACGGGACATGGGATGAAGGGGCAGATGCAGAATATGGGATGCAGATACAGAACATGGGGTACAGAAGGAGAATTTAGGATGCACAGGTGGAATATTGGGCAGGTGATGAGGGGAATGGGATATAGGATACAGAGGAAGGATGTACAGGGCATGGGTTGAAGAGGGATTTGGGATGCAGAGGTGGGATGCAGGACACAGGAGATGTGGATGCAGGATACAGAATGCAGAAGTGGGGTTTAGGGTGCAGACATGGGATGGAGGTGCAGGATATGGGATGCTCAGACCAGAGCACCACAGCACAGCCCCAGCTCTGCACAGGGATTTTGCAGCACCCCTGGAGATGGGGAGTGCGTGCAACGAGCCGGGAAATGCAGACTTCCAAGGAAAATAATATTGCTTTGCAATCCCATACAGACATTCTGCAGCTCGTCCCCCATCTGGGAGGCAGATCCCGGCCATTTGGCCACATCTGCCTGCCAGATGTGCTAGGGAGGGGAGCAGAGCCCCTGTGGATGGGAAACCTCCCCAGTCCCCTGTGTGCAGGCCAGGTTGGGAATGCAGCTCTACCATATCACACCTGCTCTGGAGAAACACCTGGATGGGAGCAGGGAGCAGTGGGAGGGAAGGACTGGATGGGACCAATCCAGCCTCACAAATGATTTTTATTGTAATTAAGTTTTTGTCCTGTGGCTGGGGGAGGTGGCAATGAGACACAGCCAGGGTGCAACTATAGGGGGCACAGCCCAGTATGGCCCAGTAAGGACCCTGGGCTGAGCTCACCCAGCACCCTGGGTGGGGTGGGAGGTCCTGGTGAGGCCAACTGGACCATCAGGGGCTGTTGGTGACCTTGGGATCCAGGCAGCAGGATGGGGATGTGGATGGGAGAGATGGGATGGAGATGTGGGATTCAGGGGTGGGAAGATGTGGAATGCAAACGTAGAGTTTGGGATGCTGGCACAAGGTGCAGGTGTAGGAGGGGGGCAGGATGCAGGTGCAGATGGAGGATGTGGGATGAAGGCTGCACAGGCAGGACATGGAGCAGATGCAGGATCTGGGATGTTCATTTGGGATGCAAGAACCTGCAGGACTCAGATGCTGGCTGCAAGAAGCAGGATGCAGAGGGCAGGATGTGGAATGAGAAGTTCAGATGCAGGACACAGGGTACAGATCCAGGATTGGGGATGCAGGAGACAGCCACAGGATGCTGATCCAGGGGATGGGTGTGGGATGCAAAAGCATGGTGCAGGTGGAGGGTGCAGCTCTAGGATAGAAGAAATGGAATGTGGAATCCAGGGTGCAGGAGTGGGATGTAGGATGTAGGTGCTGGATTCAGGATGGAGATGTGGGGTACCAGTGAAACTCCAGGATGGTGATGCACCACTTCAAACACAGAAGAATGGTGGGAGCATTTCCCATCTGATTTTTAGGGGCAAATGAGAGAATTTCCCAATAGCATCAGCTTCTTGGGGACTGGAAATCAAACAGAATTCCAGAATCAAACAGGATTCCAGAAACATTTCTCTTTTCTGAACTACCTCTATCAGCTCAGTGTCTCCAGGACAGAAGTATTCATATAGAGAAAAAAAACCCTAAAGCTGGAGCAATTCCATCTGAAGACACCCAAATCCAGCATTTCCCTCCTCTCTCCTTAGCATTTCCCACTGTGGAGGTGCCTGAAGGGCTGGATTTGTTGGATTTTTAAGTCAGGAGATGTTTTAGCTCTTGCAAAAGCATCGCAGCAGCCTTGGGAATGCCGCCACATTAATAAAAGCAAAAATGCAGAGGAGTCTGTTAAGGAAACTCCTGCAAAAATCCCTTCCAGAAACATCGTGGTCAATATTAGCTCTTGGTTGGAGCTTTTTTTCCCTGTTTTATTTCATTGGGAAAATGAGTTTTGGAGGTCATCACGTGCCCAGAGGATGGTGCAAGGTGGGTTTTGGCAGCAGGTTTGGCCCCTGGATTCTCCAGTCAGTATCAGGGAGGGATTTTGTGGGGAAAAAACCTGGAATTTACAGCTTCAAATTGGAACTTTCAGGTTAAAACTTACAACAATCACCCTGAATTGGAGGGC